GGACATTTCATTATGGAGGAATGATAAGGATAAGTACAGGAGGAGGTTCTATACATCAGAAACTTGGAGATCTATAAGAGAAGGCCATCAAACTTATGATTGGAATTGTGCAGTTTGGTTCAAGCATGCGACGCCTAAATTCTCGTTCATACTCTGAATTGCTATGTGGGACAGATTATCAACGGGGAGTAGGATGATGCAATGGAATGTTAATATTGACACCTCTTGCATTTTCTGCGAGAAACCTATAGAATCAGTTGATCACTTCTTTGACTGTAATTTCTCGAAGCAAGTCTGCGATTCTCTTGGCAAAACTGATTGATAAGACGGTGAGAAATAAGTTTACTATCATCCAGGCGGGAAGAGACAAGAAGCTGGTTGGTGGTCTGCAATTTTGGTTTTCTACTAGCCAAAACTAAAGATGGTGTTTTCTCATTTTGTCTATTAGGAAGCTTACTTTAGGAGTGATCCAGTAGGAGTGAGAGTTGGATACCCAGTAGGAGTGAGGGTTGGGTAAGAAGTTAAGGGAGGAAATGGAGACCAATAGGAGTGAGAGCTGGGTGTCTAGTAGGAGTGAGTGCTGGACATATTTGAGAAGGATGAAGTAAGCTATGGAGGAGGATTAGAAGGTTTGAAGAGACAAATTTTTTTCTACTTGTTTTGTTCAATCATTGTTTAGCAAATCTTAGGAAAGGACAAAATGTGTAACAAGGTCTATCTTTTTTTAATCAAATTTAACATTTTATTCAAAAAAAATGTGTTTTTGCCTACTCATTATCATCCCCTACTTTCTTGATTTTTTCGTCCCGCAATATTCCAATTGAATCTCCAACAATTCAGAATCACTACATCCACCCTTTCACAAACGTTCCTAGCCCTGAATGGTTCCGTTGAGCCAATGCAGTGCTCCGCTGAAGCTAACAAAACTAAACAAAAGAGATAGCGTCACTGAAAAATATGGGTTGTGGATATCAAATTCCATAGAGTTAAACTTTGCTTGGGCTTGAGACATTCCATACAGCCCCAGTTATGAATTAGAGTTTTGAAATCAAAGAAAGATCATAGGTTTTTGGTATTCACTGTTTTCGCAAAGTTGGAAATTTTGTTTGTTGTATGATCTGAAGATTTAAAGTATGCAAAAGAAAAGAATCGTGGACAAAGAAGATAATCATGGATCGTGAGCTGTTTTGAAAAAACACTGTTCTATGGTTTCTATTTTTTTCTTTTAATTTATTTAAGCATTAAGCGTTATTTTTTACTCTTTTTGTATTTTTTATTTAATTATTTTCTTAAAAAGTCTTTTCCACATATCAAATTCTGTTTCGTTAGATAAATTGTACTTTAGAATATAAGAGATTTTTATGCTCACTAGAGCAGATTAATAAAATAACAATAGATCAATATCATATCAACGAACATAAGAAATACATTTATTTTTTATTTTATTTTTAAAACTTGCTCAGATTCTTATGATTGATAATTCACAAGTTGCTTTGAAACATAATTAAATTTTGATTGTTAGTAATATTGTACTACTTGAATTCAAGAAAATATATTTGCAAGTTGTCGTTATTTAATTATGTTGTAACATATCTGTCGGGGTTCAACAAAAATCCAAATGTAATTTAGATTCCTCATAAAATTGAATAATGTATGATTAAATACCTAAAGTTGATATGAAAATTGGTCCAGTCTGAATATTTAGATAGAAAAAATTAGTTATTTCAGATATTATCAGTGTTCTGAGTATTTTGATTATTTACTTTTGGCTATTTTTAATACTTTACGGATATTCTCTGCTATTTTGGATAATCCAAATATTTTAGATATTTCAGATATTTGTATATTAAATATACAAATAATTAATATTGTTATGTATGTAATTCAGATATTTTGAGGTATTCAAAATATTTTGGTTAGAGTTAGGTTCAGTTATGGTTTTTCAGATATCAACATTTGGGTCCATTCAAATATTTTACCAGTTCTGGTTCCGGATTGGTCCTCTTTTTGAGTCAGATTTGATTCAATTATTCATATACAAGTACTATGTCCAGTTCTTATATCTAAGCTAATATCACCTTAAAGTTTATATTTAAGTGAGAAAAACAATTCAGAATATCATCTTAATATTTCTAAATACTGTTTGGTTTTTATGAAGCACCAAAGTATTAAAATATTAATTAATATAATATATATAGCCCTCCATGATTGTTGTTTATATATAATTATAATCAGAGTGGAAGAAGGCGTTGGAGAAAAGATGTAAGAGGAGATGATAAATAAGCTACAATTATCATATCTTAACCATAATCAAGATACAATATAGAGCAAAAGACTACAAAATAACATGACAAACATTTTAACAACAAAAAAAAAATCTAATAAAAAGCGCTGGATATTATACATTATAAAATCTAATGAAAATTCATCAAATGTTTTGTTAAAAATGATAAAATGGTAGACCACCTTATTTTTTAAATCCGTCTCATTTTTGGTGAACACATTTACCTATCGGCCGTTCAAACTCATTTACTTTTAAGTCAAGAATTTTATCCATTTAAATTCATGTAACTGTATTGATCATCTATTTAGACCGGCTAGGATTTATTTTGAGTAACTAAAATCATTTAATTTTTACCAAAAAAAACATTTGCAAACATGGTAATCAGAGAAATATATTTTGAAAAAAAAAAGGGTAAATGTGCTTCCATTAATTCACCAGAAAAGAGCATATGGTAATCAGATAAAGATATTTTGAAAAAAAGGTAAATGTGCTTCCTTTAATTTTGCATGCTTGCTATCATATCCTACTTTCTTGATTTTTCGTCCCACAATATTCCAATTGAATCTCCAACAATACAAAACTTCTACATCCACCCTTTCACAAATGTTCCTAGCCCAGAACGGTTCCGTTGAGCCAATGCAGTGCTCCGCCGAAGCTAACAAAACTATACAAAGGAGATAGTGTCACTGCAAAATATGGGTTGTGGATATCAAATTCCACAGAATTATACTCTGATTGGCTTGGGACATTATATACAGCCCCAGTTATGAATTAGAGTTTTGAAATCAAAGAAAGATCATAGGTTTTTGGTATTCACTGTTTTCGCAAAGTTGAAAGTTTCTTTGTTGTTTGTTTATTGTATGATCTGAAGATTTAAAGTATGGAAAAAAAAGAATCGTGGACAAAGAAGATAATCATGGATCGTGAGTTGTTTTACGAAATAACTGTTATATGGTTTCATGTTTTCTTCTTTTCATTTATTTAAGCAATAAGCGTTATTTTTTTACTCTTTTATATTTTTTATTTAATTATTTTTCTTAAAAAATATTTACCACATATCAAATTCTGATTCGTTTAGATAAATTTTACTTTAGTATATAAGAGATTTTTATGCTCACTAGAGCAGATTAATAAAATAACAATAGATTAATATCATATCCAATAGACATGAGAAATACATTTATTTTTTATTTTATTTTCAAAAGTTGCTCAGGTCCTTATGAATGATAATTCACAAATTGCTTTGAAACATAATTAAAATTTGATTGTTAGTAATATTTGTACTACTTGAATTCAACAAAATATGTGTTGCAAGTTGTCGTTATTTAATTATGTTGTAACATATCCGCCGGGGTTCAATAAAAATCCAAATATAATTTAGATTCCTCATAAACCAAAATAAAATAAATATACAGCATATACACTTGAATAATGTATGATCAAATACCTAAAGTTAATATGAAAATTGGTCCAGTCTGAATATTTAGATAGAAAACATTAGTTATTTCAGATATTATCGGTGTTCTCAGTATTTTGATTATTTACTTTTGACTATTTTTAATACTTTACAGATATTCTCTGCTATTTTGAATAATCCAAATATTTTAGATATTTCAGATATTTGTATATTAAATATAAAAATAATTAATATTGTTATGTATGTAATTCAGATATTTTGAGGTATTCAAAATATTTTGGTTAGAGTCAGGTTCAGTTATGGTTTTTCAGATATATCAAAACTTCGGTCCTTTCAAATATTTTACCAGTTCTGGTTCGGATTGGTCCACTTTTTGAGTCAGATTTGATTCAATTATTCGTATACAAGTACTGTGTCCAGTTCTTATATCTAAGCCAATATCACCATAAAGTTTATATTTAGGTGAGAAAAGCAATTCAGAGTATCATCTAATATTCTAAATACTGTTTGGTTTTTATGAAGCACCAAATTATTAAAATATTAATTAATATAATATATATAGCCCTCCATAGTTGTTGGTTATATATAATTATGATCAGTGTTGAAGAAGACGTTGGAGAAAAGATGTAAGAAGAGATGATAAATAATCTACTATTATCATATCTTAACCATAATCAAGATACAATATAGAGCAAAATATTACAAAATAACATGACAAACTTTTTAACAACAAAACAAAAATCTAATAAAAAGCGCTGGATATCATACATTAGAAAATCTAATAAAAATTCATCAAATGCTTTATTAAAAATGATAAAATGGTAAATCCACCTTATTTTTTAACTCTGTCTTAATTTTGGTGAACACATTTACGTATAGGGCGTTCGAACTCATTTACTTTTAAGTCAAGAATTTTATCCATTTAAATTTATATAGTTGTATTGATCATCTATTTAAACCGACTTGGATTTATTTTGAGTAACTAAAATCATTTAATTTTTACAAAAATATATTTGTATATTATTTTTCTTAAAAAAAATTTAATTTCATATCTAAGCCAATATCACCTTAAAGTTTATATTTTGGTGAAAAAAAAACAATTCAGAATATCAACTTAATATTTCTAAATACTGTTTAGTTTTATGAAACACCAAAGTATTAAAATATTAATTAATATAATATATGTAGTCCTCCATAATTGTTGGTTATATATAATTATGATCAGTGTTGAAGAAGGCGTTGGAGAAAAGATGTAAGAGAAGATGATAAGTATTTGAACTAGAGACCTCGCCCGTGAAGTAAATCATCGCTACTATTATCATATCTTAACCATAATCAAGATACAATATACAGCAAAAGACTACAAAATAACATGACAAACTTTTTAACAACAAAATAAAAACAAGACAAAGTAGGGTATGCTGAGGTGAGCGCACATAAACCCCTTTTTATTTTACTTATATTAGACCAAGTGCTCTTAATCCTCATGATTATGTATGAGTTCTCACTTCACTTGACGCTGAAACAATACAAACGACCACGAGAGTAAGTTTGACTCATTATAAATAACTAAATAACAGTCTCCTTCTAATTTGAGTATCAATCACGTAGAAAGAACACATATAATCTGAATTTGGACATAACAAAAAGAGAATAAGAAGCTTACGTGTCGCAGTTAGTGCTCATGGAGATGGGATAGGGAATGCTAACACCGCACTTCCCAGGAAGGCTAGAGGCTAGACTTGGGTTGACGCTCTTTGCAGCGGCCTTTAGGCATTTGCATGCTTGTTGGCGGTCAGGTGTGGTTTGAGCCATACCATTCAAATTTTTGACTCCCGCACAGCATGGAGGCGGCACCGCCCCGCCTGTGGATAGGTAGCCGCCACATGGAGCCAAGCTACTTGCCACTGTGCCACATGAGATTGCTGCATCTACTGATGCAACTATGCACACAGTCAAAATAAGGCATGTGAAGAACCTCAGAGCGAAAGCCATTGTCTCTTTTGTGATAAGAAAATAAGAAAATTTAGTTTACTTTTCTGTGTGATTAAGCTTGTGTTTTGCTGTTGGATATGAGAAAAGTTGGAGTTGTTGATGGATTTATATAGGAATTTTAGATGAGAGAAAGGATGATTGATTCGAATTTGTTAGACTGCTAGTAGTTGGATTTGCATTTACTCCATTCGTTCCTTCTAGTTTTTTCTACTAAACAACAGTATCACAATATTTAGTAGTATGTACATATTGAATTTATTTAGCTTACAAATTTATTTTATTGTTTTGAGATAGATTGTATATATGAGCGGCATAACAACATTTAGTAATAACTTTTTATTTTCTGTTTGTGCAGTACATGTTTAGCATTGTTAAAAATTATTTTATTACCTTTTTGGCCAACAATGACTATATTATCATAACAAAGTTCCGAACATTAGTAAAATTAAAAGGAAGATTTTTTAGCAGAATAGTAAATCTATAAGTTAACCAATGGGAAAATCTGTAAGTTATTTACTGTTTCGACCAAAAAAATATGGATCTTTACTGCATAATAGAAAATAATAATTTTGGTTTTGCACATAATTAATAATTGGAAGTTCGTACTGTGCGAAATAAATTTGATACCGTCTAATTAAACCTAATGAGTAACAAACGGACACGCGTATCCAACACCAAACTTCAGAACTCTCCCAACTAGCCCCATCACATTCTCCAATTCCATTGGACCACCTCTTGTTTTGCCATTAATTAAGTAAAGAAAAATCTAACTTTGTCGACTAGAGTTGTTTTAGGTGGCTATAGTTTGGTGTTGGGTTAATAATTTATTGTGAATGTCAAAAATAATGAAATTAGCTCTAGCGTATCAGTGAAGATAACCACCGTTGAAGACACAAGATAATAGAAAACAAAGAAAAACATCCATATATCGCATAGCCGAGTAAAACCAGGGACATTCTTCTCGTCAGTTTCACATTCCAGACTTAGTTACTTACTTAGTTAAAGATTCCTTCAATTCTCAAGATGACAAACAGAAGAGTTTATCGGCGGAAGATACTTGCGCACATCTTTTAGCGTTAATTCTCTTTTTTTTTTGTTCTTTAAAACCCAAAATGCTCACTGAAAAACATTTTTGAAGATGTAATTTCTTGAGGTATGTTTTACTAGTTCGTGAAGTAGTACAATAGGAAATTCAAGACATGTGTCAAAAAGGTTGATTTGTGAAGTTGTTTACGAGGAGATTGTTATTGGATGTGTTAAATCTTACAAATGGAAAGAGAATATGTGGTTCAAGACAAATATATGTTTTTTATTAAACAAAAAGATTTCGCTTGGAGAGGAAATTTCTCTTTACATAAAAATGAAGTTTGCTTAAAATATATCTGAAAAAACTTTTAAAACAAGTTTATGGTTTAATATATAAGAAGGGAAGCATTTTATGAGAAAGGTATAACTCAGAGAATAAAGTGTGAAAGAGTTTTCATTGTGAGTTTTCATGTGCTCTTGGTGTTGACGTAATGTTTGACATAGTGTGCCATTTTTAAAGCTTGTGTTGATCAAGCATGTTATGATGTGGATCTTGACGTTATGTTTTGAAATCTAGACGAGGTCCCGGAGAATAGCAAACGTTAACAAATTTTGTGTGTCGTCTACTCTTTACTTTCTATCTCATCTGTATTTACAACCCAATAAGAGCAAATAACTCAACCATGGTTTACATGGCAAGAAGGAAGAAGAATCAAGATAGAGAGGAAGAGAGTTTGTAAGCGCTAAGAACAGAGGAGTAGTTGGTTTACATGGCAAGAAGTTGTTACGAGGTTGTTTCAAGTTATTTAGGTTGTTACTGGGCCTCCACACTATATAAGAGGACTTCAAGTCTTTAAAATTGTTTTGATGAGTATTTGAATGAGCTGTAACCAATGTTTTTAAATCCGATCCGGACACTGAACCGAACGACTTACTGAGTCTTTGGATCACTGGATCGACTGCGGATGAATTGTGGGTTAATAAATGAACTTTATTATACCAAAATATTAGCTATGAAAATAAAAATATAGAAACTAAAGTTAAATATTTTCTAAATGTTTTTAAAACATAAAATTTATAAATATATTAAATATCAAAATTTTGTTTAAACTATTTAATTTTTTTTTTATAACAAACTAAGAATAATGACATCTAAAAAATCAAAATATAAAATTCATTAATATTTAAATGTCTATTGAGAATAATAAATTAAACTTCAAATCTAAAATAAACCCAAAGTAAAACATCATTGTAATAAATCATCAATAAGAAAAATAAAATAACACCAAATCACATCAACTAATTTTGGTTCTCGTTACCACCCTTCAGTTTATTTTCTTCAGGTGGTATAGTGAAATCTTCATCAAAATCTAAAAATCACAGATTAAATAGTGTAGTAGGTATTATGTATGATAAAAAGTCAGAAAGTTTAACTAAATTTAAAGAAGAAGACGGCAATGCCAATAACTAAAACGTGAATACCTAACTTTTAAATTAGAAATTTAGAATACAAAACAAAATAAAAACATAATTTAAAACTAAAAAAATATATAAGTTTAATATTTGTTCAACCAGTGGTTCAACCGGTATCGGGTTATGGTTTTAGTGGATTTTTATGGGTTTTTACGGGTTTTTAAATTTTTAGTTTTAACAAAACCCTAACCGAATTTATTTTGGATCACTGGGTTTACCGGTTCAACCGCGGATCTGGGTCGAATTTCAAAATACTGCCTATAACTCTTTGGTAGAGACAGTCTTGTATTGGGAGATCAATTCTTCTAAACTCGACTAGGATACTGAACCAACAAATTTATGGGTCATCAAGTTATTGGGTTGATAGAGGGCAAACCACAATTAATTAATTTTATATATAATTATATATTAGCTATTAAAATATAAGAAAAATTTCACATTTTTTAAAAAATGGAAAAAAAATAAATGTAGTATTTTTATATTTATTTTAAAGATTTTTTTCGATAATTTAAATTATTTAAATAAGGTTTTGAAAAACAATTAGGAGTTATTAATATAATAATACATCATAAGACTTAAATATCATAAATTTTAGATATCTAATATAACTAAAAAATATTAAATTTAAATGAAAATAAATTAAAAGTAAACAATAAAATTGTAATCGATAACAAAAATAAATCTATACTTATATCTTTTTAAATAATTTTGGTTATTCTCATTTTTCACTATATCTCTTTAGATAGCACAGTGAAATGTATAACAAATTCTAAATATCACAATAATATAATTTATTTGATATTATATATAACTTTATAAAATAAAATAAGATCAATAAATTTTATTTACAACAAACATCATTTATTTAGAAACATTTAAATAAAGAAAATAAGATAAAAACATGTGATTCTCGAAAAAATAAAAAATAAAATTTGTATTATAGATAAAACAAAGAAGCCGAAGAAGATATGGAGTATATGTAATAGTAAAGAAAATGATAATTTCACAAGAAAACTAAAATTTTATAAGTAAAAATCAACGTATTATTTGGAATACAAAATATATTAATAAAATTATCAAAATCTTAAAAAAAAAATTACCGGATATTTCTAAAAAATCAAACCGTATTATTTAGTGGATCACCTATCTTTATCTGACCGGGTTCAGGTCGGACGTAAAAACAATGTGGGAGAGAAAAAGAATACAATATATGGAGACGATGGAGACGTATTTGCTGGCAGATCCGTCGGTGACAGTGAACTCATTGGCGAACTCTCGGTTTGATATGAATAGAAGACTACACTGCTTCAATTCACATGATGGAGAAGGAAGCGAAGGCGACTGAATCAAGACTGGAATCGAAGATCAGCGAGTTGGGGGCGAATATTGAAGCAAGCAGCGAGTTACTGTGGGCACAAACTGAGAAGAAATTAAAGAAGAGTGTGGAGGTGACGGAAGATACAATACAACACCACTGCCGTATCATCATCCAAAATTGGAGGTTCTCTCATTAGAATTGGAGGTTACGAGGATCGAGCTTAGCTGGAAGGAACTGATTTTTAGGTAGTGATAGGTTTGAGTCATTTGCTGATTTTCCTATCGACGTGCAATTTAAATTTTTTGAATAATGAAAATTTACTTAAAAGATCAAGTAGAGAAAGAAACAAGAGTTATCTGCGAATCAATGAAACGGCCAGAGTTACTGTCGTTTTGATCTTGCAGCTAGCATGCTGGGACACATGATGCGCATACTTGCTAAACAATGCATCGATATTGATTGAATCTTTAAAGTGAGCTACGAGCATTGATTCTGTCACTGCTCTTATACAACCAGCTTCTTTTTGTCCTGCTTGTGAGATACAATCCTCGTTACTATGGCCAAGATCAAATCCATGCGTCTCCAACTCGTGTATTTGGAAGGATCCTTCTTCCCTTATTATCTCCTTTAATTCTTCCTCGGTCGGATCATAAAAAGGGATTTTGAACGAATTCACTTTTGATGCACTCAAAAGACCCTATAAGAACATCATAATGACAAGATCAAATCTTTAAAACCATGCTTAGTGAACATATCCAAATATGAATCTGTTCTTGATACCTCCAAGACTAAGTCGCGGAGAGAGTCGGATAATAGTGTCCAGCAATGACAACAATCCCTATACAATGGATCACCAAGAGTGTTTCTGCCCATGATTGTAAGAACCATACGTCCATTACGTACCATCTCTTCAGAGCGCATTCTAAGAAATGTTGTGAAATCTCTTTGAAATTGATTCAAGTAAGCCTTGTAGTCACTTAGAGGACTTGAATTTGTTATGTACACATTCATGCTGTTCTTCTCCAGTCCATCCGGAACCTTAAAGTCCAGACATTCAGTTGTTATATAGAGTTTAATTGTGTCTACAAGTAGCAATTTATAATAAATTTTAAAAGTATTTATAAAATACCTTAGAGAGAAAATGAATACTGTACACTGAATGTACCAAATGGAGAGACTTGCGAGGGAAGAGCCTTGAGTAAAAAGAACCAGGGACTCCGGATATGAAGCACGGTCCTTCACTTGTGACTTTTTTCTTGAAGAGAGCTATGAACTTGAAAACTGCATTGAAATCGTTATTAGGGAGATCATTCAAACAACAATCTATCTCTGGCTGTTTTTGGTTCCGTTCTTGACACAGCAAATTGATTGTATTGACAATCTCAGACATCACTAGAAACGTGTTTTGTCCCGACGAACACCCAAAATCGGCGACCTTGACAGATTGTGGAAAGTCCAAGTTTGTCAACATTTCCTTTGTATTTTTAATCACGAGTGGCTTGGTCATGTATAGAACTCTTCTCTGAAATAGACGTAAGAGAAATCAAGAAATTGTTTAAGACTTTGAGGGATTACAAATATGTTCTTTTAACGTTACTAGATCCTTTCTCCGCGCTACGCGCTGATTAGGTACTTTAAATTTATAATTTATAATTATATAAACTATTGTATTATAGGTCAATTATATGTATAATTTTACTTTTTTTTATATTTTTAATAGTCTTATTTATCTCATATTTTTAATATCTCCTTCGGTTAAAAATCTTGGCTCAGTTGTTTGATTGTTGTTGGAAAGCCGACATTTCAATAATTGCCCCTGAATGATAATAAATTGATCTTATGAAATCTAAATATGCCAAACCGTGTAGAAATATATATATATATATATATATATATATATATATATATATCTAAAAATGGTAGCATGTGGCTTACGTTGTGGTCATAGCATATGAAGCCGTACCATGATTGGATATTGCCTGGTTTGTGAATATTTTTGTCCCAAATATTCCTTACACATACCGTTATAGGACGCACTTAAAACCCTTGTTCAAGTTGGTGGATTTGTTGATGGATGTTATCCATGGAAAATGGGCCTAAAATTTTTTTTAAAAAAAAATTGAAAATTAGGAAATTAAAATTTTAAAATTTTGGAGGTTGAAAAAAAAATACGGAGAAGTGGGTTTTTCTTCTAATATGGAAGAAGCTTTCTAAATCTTGAGATAAGAAAGTAAATGCAGTTAATATAATTCAAATTACCACATTTTAGAAAAAAAAATTATATATTTTTCTAGGTTGTTGATTGGGTTCTATGGGCATTTATGTAGATTATTTACAATTAAATAATCAAAAAATTGTAAATATTAATTTTTTTTTTATTTTTTTTTCAATTTTTTAAAAATGGTATAAAACTTCTCTTAAGAACATATAATCTAACAAAATAGGAAATCAAAATACACGAACATTGATCATACGTAGAACCTTAAAAATCATGAAAATCAATCTTATATATGGCGATAGCAATAAATGGATCCGTCAGATTAGTACTCTTTTACACATGTTACAATACGTTAACTTATACACATTAACACAGTAGTTCATGTGTGTAGTTATATATGTCGGATGTGTGTTTGCGTTGTAGTTGAAGATAGGGTTAATCAAAACCAAACCAAACTTCGATTTTAATGTGATAACCGAGTCAGACAAACCAATCCGACGTGGATGATTCAAACTTTCTTATTGATATAATATTTTTGCCCATGTAGATATTCTAAGGTGTTTTTATTTAGTCTTTTTAATAGAGTAAGATTAACGTACATAGAGATTACAAATAAGTTCTTTTAACGTTATTAACGTACATAGTTGATTATTTTATTTAGTAATGTGTTTTTCTTTGAACTAATGTTTTTTTTTTTGAACATCATCTTTCAACAGTAATGTGTTTTTCCAAGTAAATATTTGTATATAGAAGATGAAAGAACCGTAATAAGAGAGTTGGCGGAGTAGCTCTTATCTCCATTTCCACCACTCATACACAGAGCACTCACAAAAGGATATTTACTACTATCCTCTCTATCGCCATTATTTCCACTTTTACCATCACACCTGCGTTTCACACAATAGTGGCAGATTCAGATATGCTTTTGTCACGGGCAACATATTTTTTATACATATACAAAATATCAAGTATACAAAATATTTTAATAATGTAATAGTGTAAGTTTGAATAATATTAAATATTTTTACATATATAATAATTTTAACAATTTGTTTTCACTTCCAGTGTCAGATTTTGATTGTATTTTAAGTTTCTTGTAATGGAAACAAGGAAGTGGTTTCTCTTAGTTTTATGAATAGATAAACTACTTATGAATATAAGAAAATATCTAACCCGCAAATATAAAAGGAAAATAATTTAAATCAGAGAAAAAATAAAAATAGTAATGTGGATTCATGGGAAATCACAGAAAATCGTGTTCGAGTTAATTTATACAAAAAAATTACTTAACTTTCCATATTTTAGAAGTACGGAAATTATACACAGAAAAAACATTTTTTTTTAAGAGAAAACATGAAATTTATAAAGGGGCACTGGACCCTATACCTTAAACCATAGACCGGCCCCTACACACATATATATACATTAGATTATTTCTATGTCAAATCACTATACATATAAATGTGCTTTGAAGATGAATTGGAGAGAAAAACCTCGAGGAAGGATTGCCATCGATAAATCTTGAATCCATTCTTCAAGATTAAAACCCTAGCTTTGACACCATATGTTGTTTTAAGGAGGTTGCAACCTCGCACACTATATTTATAGAGGTGGAAGTCTGATCAGTGTTAAAAAAAAAGGTGAAAGGTTGATAAAATATCTCAAACATGAGACACGTGAGACATATGGCTTTAACAGGCACTCCGATTAGGGTGGGCACAAATCGAGTATTTAGTATTTTCGGTATATTTAGTACTCGATTTGGCTTGTACAAGTATTCGAATTTTGGATTTGTTGATCTCACTCAAATTACCTTAAGAAGTGAATTACTCTCTCAAATAAGAGGTTCAGTTGTAGTATTTAAGGATCGAATCAACAAGGAACTAAGGAATCTAATAAATCTAGTTGAATACAACTCTAGGTGAATGTATAAATAGTAAAAATAGTAAATAAGCAATAAGGAAATATTTCAATTAAGCACGAAAATTACTTAATCGAAAATGAAAATTAGACTTCTAAAGAAAATAAGGAAAAGATGTTAGACTTAGGGTTTTTATTCAGGTTTTCAGGATTATAATGCTATAGGATGCTATATAGTTGCTTACGAAATATTATAGAGTATTAACTATGCTGTTGAACAAAACAAGGATGTTTTCAGGATTGTTAAAGTTACTTAAATGTCTCTAATCCAACCAAACAAATCCAAGATTCAATGTTTCTAGTTAGCTACTCTAGAACCATGAGAAAATAATACATCCTATTAATGAATATCACAACTAGCAAACCTATAGTTGGGGGCTAATCCCTCTAACCTATTTAAACCCTAAATCTAACAAGTAAACTATTCAGACATAGCCAAGCAATTCATAACACAAATAGATAAGTAAAACTGCATATTATAGATAAATAAATAGGTAGAAAACACTGGAGTTCCAATCACAAATCTCTATGATGATCTTCTCTCCAAACTAAAAACCCTAAAACTTTTACTGTAAAAATATTACAAAAAAGTTCTCTCTGTGCCTCTAACACTTTGGCAGAATATATAAAAGTAGGTTAAAACTCACCAGGGGTAAAATCGTGATTTGGTGATGATTGGGCTTCAAGTTAACTTGTCTCGCGAATTGGGTTCTCCGTCTTCAAAATCTATCAATCATACTTAGTGTATGTCGATCGATCCAGATCTCTCTATGTCGACCTCATGATCGTTTCCAAATCGAACGCTTCTTCCAAATCTCTCCAAAATGCTCCAAAACATCACTTTCTTCCAAAATACTTCTGAACTCATAAATACGCTTAAAAGCTTCTATATTATAGTAAATAGTAGTAAAAACACCAATATACAATGACTAAAAACGGGTCAAAATCATGGTATATCATTTGTACTTGATTTGTTAAAAACGAGTACTTGCAGTTTCAAGTACTTGCAAAGAATTGATTGACTTGCAAATTACTTGCCTTGTTTTATCTCTATAATATTATTTGAGAAGTCAGTTTCCTACATATCGCGCTTACGTTAACTCTCGCGATGGTTGATTACATAGATACCCTTAATGAATTGTTAGATTTTAAGATTATTATTAATTTTTTATTTAGTTTTTTTTTACCTTTTTCCAAATAACATATATAATAAAAAGGAAATATTTCTAAAAATTTTTAAAAAATTTAAAAACGAATATATATGTATATATTATGACTTTATTAAAAAGGAAAGTTCACAAAATAGTAATACCCCCATTAATATATATTTTTAAATAACATAAAATATATTTTCAAAATAATAAAATATATATTTTCATGAATATTCAAAAATTTATCAGTTACACTTTATTTTCTAATATTTTTTAGAAATCAGCATATAATTTGATAAATATTATGAAAATACATGTATATTTAAGCGATAAATGAAACTAATTTTATTTGACTTAACTAAAATAAAAATTAAATAAATATTATGAAAATACATGTATATTTAAGCGATAAATAAAACTAATTTGATTTGACTTAACTAAAATAAAAAGTAATTATACTTCAGTTTAAATTTAAAAATATATTTCACTCAACATACTCACAAAATGAATGACTCGACTAATCTAACTTATATCCAAAATTAAAAGTCTAACTACAATAAGAACATATAATTTTATAATTTTATAATAATATTATTAATTCAATTAATTTTATACATATAAATTAGAGGTTGACTCAAAACATATTAAAAAGAAAAAGAAAATATGAACCAATTACAATTTAATTCTCTTGTAGAATTTATATACATGCATGAGAATTCAAAATATTATCATTATATTCATTTATGTAATTTTGAATCAAATACTTCAGTTTATTATTTCTTTCATTTTAAGCCCAATATATTATAAGTTATACATAATTTCACTATAATATATTTACATACCTAAGAAAATAACCAACCGAAACGAAAATAAGAAAATTAATCAAAATTTTTATTATATTTAGAATAAAAAATATTATAGCTGAATTCAAAAAATAGATATTATCCAATATACCAAATTGATAACCAAACCGACTATTGATATAAAAGATAATTAAACCGACAATAATATATCTAAAGTCATATGTATAATTAGAATAATATAATATTTATTAGTATAAATTATACATATAAATTTATTAAAAACTAAAATTAAATATCAATCAATTATTATAAAATTTTACTTTTATGAATATTCATATCCGTGCATGAGCACGAGAAAATCACCTAGTTACTTGTTATTTATAAACATCTTACAAATTACTTGATAACTATTGGT